GGGGAGGGAGGGAGGGAGGGAGGGAGGGAGGAGAGGGGATGTTTTCTTATCTGCACAGCCCCACACCACACGGGGGGGGAGCAGCAGGGAGAGGAGGTGACAGTCAAGCAAGCAATAGCTGCATCAGCCACGACACTGCAGCAGTGCGGGCTTCCTGGGAGCAGTGCCCAGCCCGGGGGAATCGCAGCCGCACACGGGACTGGTGGCGGTGGCTTAGGGGAAAGGTCTTCGCCATGCTGGCCTGCCTGGCGGGGAGGGGGAATTGCTGCGGCGTGAACTCCAGCGAGACGATGCCCTGGCAACACGCAGTGCCATGAAGCACTGCCCGCAGGAAGGCACTGCAGCAGTGCCAGTCTCCCAGGCTGCCCTGCCCAGCCCCTGTTCAAGCGAGGCTGCCCAGCCTCCAGCCTGGCTCCTCTCTCCTCCTCACTCTGGTCTACAGGCTCCCAGCTATGACTCCGTCCCAATCCCTTATCCCAGCTTATCCGCCTCTGACCTGCTTTCAGGACAGTGCAGCTGATGCCAGGGATTTCAGGGTGGTTCTTTGCGCTGTTCAAAGGAGGGCAAACGCAGCGGGACACAAGGCAGCAACACAAGTGGAGAAAGGAGTGTGAAGGACTAGAGGGGAGAAGAGATCGAATGAGTGATGAGGTGGGGCAGGCAAGGCTGGATTTGGGCTTCTCATTTGGCTTCCTCGGAGCTGGCCCCAACAGGGGCAGGTGGACGTGGGCAGAGGGATGTGACCACGGGCAACATGACCACATAAGCAGAGAGGCACTGCATCTGGCACGGGTCTTGCTGTCAAAGGTCACTTCAATGGGGTCCTGTTCCTCTCTTCCCTGTGGAGGCTGTTGGGGCATGGCCAGGGCACTGCTGCAAAGGAAGCTCACAGCTGCGCTGGCACGGCTCTGGAGGAAGTTCCCACAGCGTGTGCCAGATGGCGTGAGAAGTGCTGCCAAAGCGGCTGATGGGGGATTCCAGCCCAGATGGACATGGTGGAGGGTCCTGTGCAGGCTCCAGAGAGCCCTGGTGTCGCTGACTGAAACTCCCCAGTATGGGAAGCTCTTGCTGGAACTTCAGAGCAGCGCGATTTCCTCACGCCTGTGCCATTTCCACCCACCCCAGGCAAGGGGGTCGAGAGCTGACTCTGGCTTCCCCCAGCCTGCTTCTTAGCTCCCCTCAGTGCTGTGATGTGCTATTTGCAGCACCCCACACACGGCACACACTCCCAACCTGTGCTGAGCCCCCCTGAGAGACGCTCACACGCACCATGGCGTGGTTCCGGCTGGGGCCCCATGGTTACCCCGGCCCCGGCCTCTGCACCGAGTTTTGCGTGGGTCCGGCCCTGCTCAGGGTTGAGTGAATCATCTGTGGGAGCCGGGGGAGGAAAACCTGGCGGGGCTGGGAGCGTGGGGTGACACACACCTCACTGCTGCTACTCCCTCTCCAGGGGGGATGCGGCTCTCCGGCATCGCACAGCCCTACAGCCGGGGGAATAAGAAGGTGGGATGGGGGGGCTGAGTTATTTTGGACTCCCTAGGGAGCAAACTTCATCAAGAGAAGCTCTTCAAAACAGCCGTCCTCACCCACAAGCCTGTTTTCCACTCCAGGTTTAACTAGGTGCATCCAAAACACCAGGTTTCCTCACCCTCCTCATCCGACAGATATGTCTCCCAGACTCATCCGCTTCCCCATGTCAGGAGCAGAGTGAAGGGTCGGGAGCTGGGCCCAGCCCCCGTGTTCGGGCAGGGCCAGGTCCCCCCTCCCTTCAGAGCCCTCTCTCCCACATCTGAGGCACCGTGGCCTTCAGCAAGATGGCTCCTCCGGCTGCTGGCCTCCTCCACCCTCCCATCGCCTCAGCACAGCCTGACCCGGCAGCTCATGAGGGAGCTGGGAAGGCTAAGCCAGGTGTTTGGGCTGGGGGGGATGCGGCTGGGGTCTGCAAGAGCCAGGCTGGGGCAGCTCCCCCCGCTGTGGGCTGGAGAGGGGCTGAGGGTCCCTGCGGGCCGGCAGCCCCCCTGCCCTGCCCGGCTCTGCCCCAGGCAGCCGCTGCACTCGGCTGGCTCCCTGCCCGCTGCGCACAGACACAGCGGCCGCTCGCTGCCTGGCCCTGGCAGGGACCATCCTTGCCTCCCGGCAAGGGGAAGGGAGACACCGGGAGCTGGTGCCCCATCCTTATCACCAGGGTGGGGACACCTCCCGGCTGCACCAGCTGATCTCTCCCTCTCTGCTGCCTGTGGATGCTGTGGCACCCTCCCCATATCTGCCACCCAGGCTCGTATCAGGAGCCCTGAGAAGCAGCAGCACTCAGCCGTGGTGCAGGGAGAGAGGGAGAGAGAGCTCTCAGTTTGTCATCTGCAGCAAAGGGACAGAATAAATTCAAGTAGATAACCAGTTCCTGTACAAAATGTGGCTAGATTCCCACAATCTGGGTTTTAATAGCAATTTCTAAATTTCCTTGAGCCGATAGTTTTAGCTCCAGCTCCTAAGGTCACTTTTCCTTGAGCGCCCTTCTCTCTTTTGGTGTCTTGTCTAGACATTAGAAGGGTGAGCACCATCTCAGAGCTGAACATGTCCTCTCCTCTCCTCTCCTCTCCTCTCCTCTCCTCTCCTCTCCTCTCCTCTCCTCTCCTCTCCTCTCCTCTCCTCTCCTCTCCTCTCCTCTCCTCTCCTCTCCTCTCCTCTCCTCTCCTCTCCTCAGACTCACCATGGCAGTCGAGAGGATCCATGCCCGCGAGATCCTGGACTCCCGTGGGAACCCCACCGTTGAGGTGGACCTGTACACACACAAAGGTATGCGGGTGAGGACAAGAGATGGAGGGGAAGTCCTGCCCACCCCGGCGGAGCTGGTGCTGCACAGCAGCCTGGCACACTCTGCCGAGAGCATGGAGGGTCTTCTCCGGTGAACCCCTGGCAGACAGCAAGCCAGGGGAAGACGCAGAGACCAAAACTCTGCTTGTGGCTCTGCTTGTGCATGTGCTCAGCAACTTCGCACATGTGCTGGGCAAATCACGACGAGACAGCTGGCTGCCATGCATGTCATGGCTTGAACCATGTGCCTGCTAGTAGCAGGGACAGAAAGTTTCATTAACATAAATATATTTACCTTCTTGTCATATCACCGTGATGCCCTGCTGCAGCTATGCTTTTAGTCCTGGGACACAGTACAAATTTGGAAACATGTCCATGGCCATGCTCATGAGGCAGGGGAAGGTTTGTCCCTGAGATCTCTGTGCAGGTATGTACATGCACGTGTCTCAACTGGAAGAGCTGCATCTGCGCTGGGCCCAAAGCTAGGTGGGCTGAGGGGTGAGGATCAGTGAGGAGCCAGAGCAGGCATCCAATCAGTCTCTTCCTTCTTCGCCGAGGCAGAAACCCAGCCCCAGTCTGAGGGGGAGGAAGCTGCTGGTGGCTGTGGATCAGGCTGCTTCTGGAACCAGGAGGAGGGCTGAGGAGCCAGACTTCCACCTGTCATCCGTAGTTCTGGGATCAATGTGGACCTCTGGGTGCCTGAGATCCAGGTTTCTCAGTCTGGAAGCCCTGGGTGCATTTATTTCTGCCACCCTGGTGCTCCACCTCCGAGAAGTGTTCCACCTCTGAGAAGACCAGCCATGAGCAGCCAGCCAGCTGGGCCATCTGTTTGCACAAGTGGTTGCCACATCCTTTCCCACAACAGCAGGACAGAAGCAGGTGCATGAGGGTTTTCCTTCCTTTTCACCCTCTGCTCGTCTCACACCCGTGTTTTGCTGTTTCCCAGGCATGTTTCGAGCAGCAGTCCCCAGCGGCGCGTC